GATCGAATGATGGAAAGGCAATTTGATGGCAACTGGTAATCCCAGATACTGGATATAATTAGAGAATATTCAGGCACACTGTGCAATGCCTGTACGAATCGAAAAGAACTGAAGACTGAAAATGGCAATCTCTGATACGAACTGCTGATGGCAGCAAATACAGCCTAGTTGTCACTGATAACTTCACGAAGCGTATGGCTGGTATGGTAATAGAGGTAATGATATAGCATTGGATTTCCAGTTTTGGAGGGCTTCTTCATTTACATTCCGACCAAAGAGCGAATTTTATTTCGGCTGTAATTAAAAAAACTATGCAAACTACTCGGCATAAACAAAAACCCAAACAACATCTCTGCAACCTCAAAGAGAGAGAGATTTAATCGAACCCCATCCTTAACCCCATCCCACTGATGGTTTCGAAAAACCACCATGACTGGTACGAGAAATTACCTCTGGTCTTACTGGCCCGTAGCAGTGCTATTTACGAAACTACCGGCTATTCTCCATTTTAGTTGCTGTTCGATCCGAATCTTCGTCAATCTTCTGATCTCTTGTTTGACTGCACTGCGTATGCGCCTTCATCGGCTGAAGAGTACATTTAGAATCTTCAGGCACGGTTTGAAATGATGCACAGTTTTTCACGAGAGCGATTCAAGTTGGTGGTGGAGAAGATAAAGACCCGATATGACAGCTACAGAACGAATTCAACGAAGGTTGCAATCAAATCTGTTTCATTAAAATGAGACTTAACTTTGAAATGGTGAAGTATATGAGATTTTCCTTTAAAAATGCATAAAAATATGGGTAAATGATTTCATCGAAATCCTCTCCGAATTACGTGTTTAAATTTATAAAATATTTGCTTGAAAAATCTACCAAAGTAGTATCATTTCAATTCTTTCTCAGCTAATAATAATGTTAAATAAATTCTAAACGACTAGGAATTCTTTAACCGGAAATTTACATTACTGAAAGTGTTTACTCAATATTAACAGGTACCTAATAAATTAATAAAATTTAAATTGTTTTAAAATTTATCAAAGCATTTATTATTATATATAACCAATTATTAAGCTAGTTCCCGAAAGCAATTGCAATACAACTGAATATATAATCGATATATTTTTCAATTTTCGCAATATACACCTGGAATTGTTATATACGTTGTTCTAAATAAGTTGCTACGAAATTATGAAAGCAAAATGTTGATTTACTTTGTGTATTACTTAGTTAGAATCTGTATCATTTAAATGCTTATATCTCATCGAGTATTCATAATTTCCACTTCATATGTTTCTCTCGAATATTCCACATTTTATGTGATTTTGTTAAATTTGTATTAAAACCTATACATGTTATAAACAATAACTAAATAAATACAATTTAAAACTCTGAAAGGGTTTAAATTTCAACGGTCGCCCAAAAGGACCGTTTTAAAACTTATCATAGTAAACATTATTAGTATAGATGACCAGTCAGAAGAGCGAAATCTTTTATAGGATAATCGGTGAATATAGACTAACGTGGGAACGTTAAATATCATCTGTACTTGTGAAAAATGTAAAAGTATATAACTTCATTCTGTAAAAATATGCAATGTTTTTAATCATATATATGAGGAATTTGTGGCTTTTACTTAATCTGGAACTGTCAATTATAATAATAATTATAATAATAAGCCCAACAGACGTGGGAATTATCGCTACGTCTATCTACCAGTATCTACAAGTTTTGAAAAGACTTTAATAAAATTTAGACCATTAATGCACTCTCTCGTGCTAACAATCTCAGCCACAGCTCGTAGTGATGTAAATAAACAGAACAGTCACATTAAATCAAACGTAAAACTGTAGTCAAAGATGGCACAATTTAAAAGTTCTTCGAAGCTGGTCAGTTATTATACCGGAGTGTCGAAATCGAGGTGTCGGCAGCGATATAACGCAAAGCTGAATAATTGCAGTTATGAAAGCTGGAAGGAACTAAAACGTGCATGCGCAGTTAAAACCGCTGTCCGTCTTAAACTCCAAAAATATCAGTTCAAATATTGGCTACTCATTTGCATTTTGGTGAGGAAAAGGAGGCATTTTGGTGAGAAAGGAGAAGTTAGGTAACGGCTGAAATTATAAAGAACTGGTTAATTTAATTAATATTCTTATAAATTAAACGCATTTTTATTTAAATCACTTTAATTCAATTAAATATACTATGTATTTGTTACCATACGCCTTAGCATTGGAGTTGTTATATTTCGGTGCTGGAGAGGAAAGGAATGTTAAGAATGAAGGTTTAAAAAATGAAATGTTTTGAACAATTTGTTTATGAGTCCACCCATATGTCTTCCATCTCGTTAAAAATTCGTAAGGTTTTATATTTATTTGAGATGTTATTATTAATAAATACGTAAACACTATTTTGATTTCTAAATTTTTTAATTTAAATACCAAACTTCTGTATATGGACAACCTTTTTAACTACTTAAATATGATAAGCCCCAATCATTGGAATTAATGGTAATTCCATCTGAAAAGATCAAAAGCATATTTAAGTACGTCAACGGCCGAGTGGTTTAGACCAATGGACATTAATAAATAGTTCAATCCGCATTCAGAACCCCGCAAAGCGGGTGATTGCATGAGTGTTTTTGTGCTTTCTTCAAATATTATGGAAATAAGAGGTCTTCCTCAAAGGTATCCTTACCCTTAGGCAGGTAGACCTCGTCTGCTTTGCCGTATTCAAATAATATAAAAATATGTATGGTCATTGATTGTTCAGTCATTATATATAATGCTGAAAGCATTTATGCATATAATCCCATTGAGTGACCTAATCATTACGCACACTTTTTGTGACTCGTATCCAACAGCAGCTTTCGTCATTTGTCGTTAACATGTATATAAAATTACTTCTTTCGAAAATAGATATGGTGATTCAAAAGTTTAAATTATATTTCTGCAAAAGTAATTTATCTGAATTTAAAGTGCAGACAAGTATTTTATAATAAGAGCTAATATTTTTAACGATCCATACTTTATGCGTCTAAGATACATAACATGGTTTTTAAAGTTGTAAATTTTATTTTTAATGTATTTTACTATGATTATTAATAAGGTTTTAAACTCGCTTGAATAATTCGTGTAACCTTCGAAAGCTAATTTTCATGCACCAAATAGTATAAATTAAATCAATGCTTAAATAAAAATATATTCAAATAGTAAGTGTGTGCGAAAGAGTACGTATGTATATGTATGCACAGTGTCCACGAAAGTCTTTATTTTCGTAACCGTTTGTCGTAGACATATACTTGTATTTATGAAAATGTTTTACATCACGGAAAGATTCCCGTTTTTGTATTTTTATATAAAAATATCTTCTTAAAAAAATAAAACATACTCGGTACGACTCCATGTGGCAAAAGCTAATCGAGATATTTTATATTAAAAATTGATGATCATATCCAGGGGCTACATAAAAATGAAGAGTGAAATGTTTGCATTACTTAAATAAAATTTAAATATCGGTTAAAATAGGTTTTCTGTTGTTAAGAGATTAAGTGACAAGCTAAAAATCAAAGTATTGTGAAAAGTATGATAAATATCTTTTTTAATACTTTAATGATTATTACGATTACTGGATTATGCTACTAAAGTAATAAATCTTTATGAGAATATTAATAACTTGCATTTAAATTTTGAAAATATATAAATTATTTGTCTGAAAATTCTTTCGGCATACCAGATATAAAAAAGTTATAAATTAATGCGATATAAAGTAAATATTGAGAAAATATCACTGAATGGCGTTTAAGGAGAATAAAATCAACCTCAAGTTATTCTAATTTAATTATTAAACGACCAATAAACTGAGACCGAAATTGAAAGCGGCGTCAAAAATCGCAAATTTTGAAACGAAATATCTCGGTCCCTTTTTTGTTGCATGGGAGGTAAATATTTCGTGTTTTATTTTTCATAATGAATACAGCATTTTCCTAAATGTAAGCACACAGAGCAGAAGAAGAATCCGTATTTCATATAAAATTAAATTTTTAAAATATAAAATTATGAAAATATGAATCTTTGCGTCATTTAAAGCATTTTCGTAATTAGAAGTATATATTTACGACTAACTGTTGCAAAAATAAGGGCCTCATAAGGAATTTTGTGGTTACGGTGTTCATGCGCTGGAAACATAGTACGTGAAGTTTAAAAAAATACAATATTCGTATTTAATGAAGTAATTATTTGTCTTCATATTTATGACAAAATATGATATTTAAGGTTTCAGTGTTCTTTAATTGAAATTCCTAATTACTATACGAAATCTTTTTATTTCTGTTTAAATTAATTGGCTCTTTTAATTCCAGCAGGAAAGGAAGGAACTATTTCATACAATTTGTATTATAATACCAAGTTTAAAAGCTAAGATTATTCCATTTTAATTAATAAAATACTGTACGTTTAATTTATTTATTTATTGCAACTTACATTTTTCAAAACTGCACCTCTCAAATTTTCCGGATAGTAAAATCTATTTTATCAATTCAAGAAATTTTATTTCCACCTGTTCTTTGAAATATTTTGCTGCTTTATTTACTTTTTTTAATGTTTCATCAACGTTTTTTAATGATCATGAAATCATTCTCATGATTTCAGAGTTTTGTAAACAACCACTGATATAAACTAATCGTAAAGTTTAATTTTGCAAAAAACCACGGTATTTCACTTATGGTTGTAGAAAGCGTTGGCGCTTTGAAGGTTAATGACACATCTTCATAGGTAATGTAAAAAGCAGTGAATCATGTATCATGTGGGAAAACTGTCTTCACGTGAAAGCAGTTTTCTAATCACTTTTAAGGCAACCAGTCAAACTCCTGAAACAAAACGAAAAGCTGCGCCTCCCCCAGTGATACATGTGACGTTATATATTCCAGATAAAGCCTACTCATTCGTTGTCGCCTACTTTTGATCCCGCCCTCGAGGTAAAGTAGAAAAGCTATCATCGTTCGTAAGACAGTCTGGGCATCCGCCGAACAGTTACCTACAGAAATTTGACAAGTTTGAAAACCTGGGCAGACAACGACCTGACGTAAAACAATCAACTGAAAAATGTTAAGCTTCTTGTTATTGTTCGTAGTAGGATTAGGATTTGTGATTCCTATGAGTGAGGGATTTGTTTACCAAGGAGCTTACGACACCTCAAATGGTAAGCGAACTGCTTACATGTCACAATTTTGTGTTTAAAAAATATTTTGACTTCTTCTTTACTTGGTCTTTAAAGATCAAAAAGTGATTCTTATTATTTGAATGCCATGAAAGCAAATCATAAAGTACCTATGGTGTAATTTAAAATAAAACTATTGTGTAAATGCAGAACTTATAAAACAAATCTAAAATATATTGGCCCTCTGAAAGTTGAAAATAACGAGATTGAAAAAAAAATCATTATTGAAACCGATCATTAGATTAATACGATTATTAGCTTTAAACGATTCCTACATGCACTGTGCTTCCCCTATTAGCAACGTCAGTTTAATATAAAAAGACTAACTAAGAGTGTTCATAGAGTCGCGTAATATAAACAAAATTCTGGATCTTAACTCTCTTCTGTAAATGGAAATTTGATACTGATTCCTAATAAATTAATGACTTTTGAAAGTTATCTTTTAGAAACACACATTCAAACATTCAATATCTTTAATATGTCAGTTTCCTACAGCAATATTTATATACACTGACGAAAATTTTTAGTTAACTATTTTTCTATCTACGAACATATAAAAATGACTGAGTGTTTTGGTTCGATTAATTCAGTTATTGAAAGCATATTTCAGTATTCTTTGCTTAATTTCATAGCATAAAATTTCAGTATTCTTTGCTTAAGAAGTTTAGTATTTTTTGCAGAAAGTTATCACTTAATTTAAGTTTGAAGAAGTATCTTAATTTATCTATTTCTTAGACTAAGATCATAGATCTAGATAGACACTTTAGACACATTTAGACACTTAATTGTTTAGAAACACCCTGTGTTTTGAAAACACCACACTTTTATTCCAAATGCAGTTTAGTGAAGCTTTAATTTTTATTTGGGTTTTAAAAACATACGAACTCGATATATAAGTATATTTACATAGTTTATTTTTATTTTCGATATTTTTCTCAGGTGTAATATGATAATATTTGGTTGAAAGTATATTTAAATCGAGGATAAAAGTTTTAAATAAAGCTTATGAAGTGTATTTATGAGTAAAATATAAATTTCATTATTTCTTTTGGATGTGCAAACTATTCCTTTTAAAGTACGAACAGTTATGAACAGTGTTTCTCCAAACAAATGGATTGATAGAACTGGATCAGTTGCTTTAATAACTTATTCAATTATTTTTTATGAAAACATATCGAAACAGACCTTTACATAACTCCTTAAAGTCATAATCTTTATATGGGTTTGATGATCAAAATCACTGAAGCAATCTATGAAATTACAAAACAGCAATGAGAGTAAATTAATACACTGAAGAACTAATATGTAGAAATCTGCCTCAGATAGTGGTGGTTTTGTTGAAGTTTAGAAGTTCAATTGTTTTTCAAAATATCCTTAAAATTAGGCTTTTAAATTAAACTTCTATTGTACAACAATTATGTGCATATTAAATGTTAATAGCATTTAATGCTCTGCAAGCACTCCATAAATATCTAGTGAACACATTTAGTGAAATAACTTACTTTATATAATAAAGCAATAAGCAAGTATTAAAGCCTCAGACATTTTATCAACAAAATAAGCCTCGTTTTTAAACAATTTGTTGCCTTTGATCAAGAAAGTTTAAAATAAACCTTGAATTAAGATAATTAAATTAATTATTCTTTGTATTTTCAAAGCTACCATCGGAAGCAATGAAGTTCAAATAAATTTTAAAAATTATTCGATTTCTGTATGAGTCCATTTTACGATCTACTTCTGGAAAGTATATTTAGAAATTTAAAAATATGAAATATAAATTTTAAAACGGGACATTCGTTTAGTTAACCGTCCTTTATGTTAACCATGGTAGTGCTATTTGTTAACATAAATTTGAATGACTTGCCAAGAGCACCTATCTCGTTTTTAATAAAAAATATCATGCATTTAGTAAACGTTCACATATTTTTTAGATACGTAGTTCTTAATTACACTCATAGCTGTCGGGAGGTGCATTTTTTACAGAAATGTAACCGGTGGCTTGCTAACCATTTGTTACCAAATCATGTATGTTATATTCATGATAGAATATTTCAGAAGTTACATAAGTTCTGCTAATTTCAATATTATTTTAGCATTATACATGTGTTGAAGAAACAGAAAAATGACAGTTTTGCCTTCGGTAATTCTCTAGGTAAATAAATCTGTGTGTTATTTTTTCATAGCATCATGCATCCAAATCATAATCTGGTGGTACCTCTGTAAATCACCTGAGTACTCATTATTCATGAATGTATGTTTCTTCTGCGGTTTTATGCATTATTTATTCGTTTTGTGTAATAAAATACAATGAAATGTTTAATGAAAAAGTTTATATTGTAAAAAAAGATGGTCAGTTAGTAGAATCGAGTTATGCTGTTGTTATTGTGACTTATCCCACCTGATCAACAGTAACACCAGATCAGCGAATGGAGTTATGAAATATAGTTTTTAATATCAGTGCCTAGTGACAACGAAAATGAATGTGCTGATGATGACCGAATTTATGACAGCAACAAATTCACAAAAGCGAAGTGATGACGTAATATATCTTGTTGCTTCTGAAGTCAATGCTATAAAACATAATATAGTCAATACTATGCAAACGGTTTATCTTCATAGAAACTGACTTAATCGTCAGAAAATGCAAACAGAATATCCAGTTCAGTAACCAAAAAAAAAATTGCTCTTGAAGTATTTTCCAGCATGGCCCGTTGATCTCAAAGAGAGTACAAATTGCATTATGGAAGACGAAGAAGAAGAGGATGTATGCGGAGCAATCTTTGCATAATGATCATGATAATGATTTACTTGCATAAAACTTATAACTTTTTTTTTTCAATTCCTACTATACAAGTGGTAATAGTAAGCAATCTGTTATCTTTGAAAGCATGTTGCTGTTAAATGATAAAACGCGATATATAAATTATAAAACACAACAAAAAAAAAAAGAAATATATCGCTTTTTGCTCACATATTTCCCCCTTTTTTAACTAATTTTATCGCTTAAAAATTGAGAGAGAGTAGTTATGCAAATAATTTAATTTCCTAAGAACGCGATTACAGGAAGACCATAATGAATGAATAGTAGCTAATAAACTACCAGTAATTACTGCAATATCATTTCTTTAAAAGAAATCTGTATTACAATAAAAATGCATAGTAATAGTAACATTATAATATCTTGACGGTAATTGAGCCGGACATTTATACCCCGGCTTAATACCTCATAGAGCCCAAAAGCGCCTTAGATGAATGAGTCTTGAATGAAACTTACAAGCAAACTATCAGAGGAAGGACGAAGAACGTGTGAAGAAAGGATCCAGATCTCAAGAAACCGAAGAATATTTTTTAAAATTTTAGAACATAGCTCTAAAAGGCTGAGGGGGAAAATACTCGAGAAAAAATGGTACTTCTTTTTATTATTTTCCTTGTCTCTGGAAAGCTTTTAATAACGTATTGTATGCTAAAATTAAAATTAATGCAGCTTTACAAAAGCTCTCAGCTGCTGACATTATTTCCATGTTTAGTCAAGGCATGAATTTACCAGAGGAAGGACGAAGAAGGTGGTAAGAAAGGACTCAGATCTCGAAAGACCGAAGAATATTTTAAAAAATTTTATAAAACCTAGCTCTAAAAAGCTGAGGGGAAAAATAATCGAGAAAATATGGTGTTGCTTTTTATTATTTTCCCTGTCTCTGGAAAGCTGTTTAATAACATATTTGTTTGTCAATATTAAAATTAATGCAGCTTATGGTAAATGCAAAAGCTCCCAGCTGCTGACATTATTTCCATGTTTAGTCAAGGCATGAATTTATGAGTGTCAGGATTTTGTGAACATCTAGCGCAAGTATTTATTATTAAATTAAAAAAAGCTTTTATCAAATAATGAAGCCTTCCATTTAGTATTTATTTATATGTGAATCTGTGCACGACCTTTACATTTCATGCACTGCTCTTCATATCGTCAAGGTTATTCTTTTTAAATCATACATAAACTATTCTAAAAAACTCTTCGTCCTTTAAAATATATTCTTTCGAGATGTAAATATGACGATATATTAAGGTCATAGCAAATAAATAATTTATTGCCTTTGATAAAGGGATTTTAAAATGCACACTCAACTAATAGCAGCTAATTAATTCTTCATAATTCCAAAACAAACATCAGTGACAATGATTCAGTTAAAATATTATCTGAGTTCTGTATGATTCTCTTGTACGACCTTCTTCTTCCAAATATGCTTTGAAGTTTTAACACATGAAATATCTGTTGAAAAGTAACGTATTGAAAATTAAATGTCTGAACTCAAATTACGTAAATTAAGTCAATAGTTCCCTTTAGTCAATAAACGTTTTCGATTGTCTACATTAATTTGAAATCTTCGCTTGGTGATTCCAGTGCTGTCAGTTTGTTTGGTTAATAATAGCAAAACAGTCTAGAGTTATTTGCCTGAGGGAAGGAGTTATTCACGGAAGATTTTTCTAAGGAAAGTGAGCTCGTATTCTCATTAAATATAGAGAAAAAACTCAAAAGCTTGAAAGTTAATTCATTCGCCAAGATTTGAATTTGGGTCCAACTAACTATGTTTCTTACGATTGTTCTAGTAAAGAATTATCTGAAAATGCACACTATAAAATACGAATTCTCTCAAGTGTAAAGTTTTAACCTAAAGCAAAATGTTAAATGTATATTTAACTTCCTTAATTCCAGACACCTTTACTTGTCATAAGACACAGGATTTGGAAAACACTGATTTAATCCTTTGATTTTTTTTTTTTTTTTTGGTGGCTCTGCCGGTACATGTATAGCAAGCATGAAAAATTATACTAGTGAAGCCTACGTAATGTAAATTTTAATATTATTACTACAGCATGAGCACCATGGAATATGTTCATTATTACTGGCTTTCATATTTTAAAATTCATTAATGTGAAAATCCTAAAGCACCATGGAATATGTTCATTATTACTGGCTTTCATAT